TAAATAGAAAAATATATCCTCGGGTGAAGATTAAAAACAAAACAAAAACCTGGCCATGTGGCTCAGTGGTTGAGCGTCGACCCATGCACCGAGAGGTCGCTGGTTTGATTCCCAGTCAGGGCACATGCCCAAGTTGTGGGTCTCATCTCCAGTGTGTGTGGGGGGCATGCAGGAGGTGGCCAGTCGATGTTCTCTCTCATTGATGTTTATATCTCTCTCTCCCTCTTTCTTCCTCTCTCTCTAAAACTCAATAAAGAAAAAAAAATTTAAAACAAAACAAAAAACATTTATAAGCCCATATGTAAAAAATTTTGATAAACCGCCTGGCCGGTTTGGCTCAGCGGTTGGAGCATTGGCCTGAGGACCAGAGAGTCCCGGGTTTGGTTCCCACTAGGGGCACATACCAAAAAAAAATGACCAGAGAAATATTTATTGTAGTTATAAAATAATGGCTAAAATTAAGAGGGGATTCATTAAGCTATGGGACACTCATAAAATGCATGATTCTCAACAGAGAGGCGAGTGTGTGTGTATATGTGTATCTGGGCTTCACCAAATCACCCAGCCTTCCACAGTGCTGTCTCCCCCATGTTACTCAGGCTTGTCTCCCTTTCCATGACCCCACGCTCCCTCTCCACTTGGAAGTCAAGATGAGGACTAGTCATCAAATTCCAAGACTTAACCATTAGTTTTTTTATGAACTGGCAAGGATTCAAACAGTCTCTACCTTGACTTTCATTCTGACTCAGGAACTGCTTTTAGAAGCATTGCTGAAGGATAAAAGCCTCCTGCTCATGGTGGAAATGAGTGACTATCAAGACCCCACTGACAGGGGCTACCATGAAGGGAAGAGCTGAGGAATAATCTTAAATTATAATTTAAACAAGGCACATGCAGCTAGTGCCTGCCCTGATGTGGAAACTTTCAGTAACCGTGCTCCTAATCCTCTAGGATGGCCCCACTGAGGTCTTGAGTTTCTGGAAGAACATATCTTAGATACATTAGAGGCTGCCCTCTGCCTTGTTCTGCCATTCTTTGTCCCGTCTGTTGGGATGATACAAATCCACAGCCACTCCTAAATGACAGCCCCTTGGGCACTGGCCAGGAGGGAACATGGCCAACTAGTCTTGTCCAAGCTGAACACTGCTGGTTCTTTCTACCACCATTCATCTGACTAGATTTCCAGGCACCAGTAGCTGCCTCCCATTACCTCTCCTGGTAGGACAAGTTTGGGGATGAACTGTCCTGTTGGGATAAGTGACTCTCAGTGTAGAGTCTTTTATTTATTTTTTATTCCTCACCTGAGGATATTTTTCTATGTATTATCAGACAGAGTGGGAGGGAGGGAGAGAGACAGAGAGAAACATCGATGTGATAGAGCCACATCAACTAGTTGCCTCCCGCACAACCTGCCAGGGCCTGGGACAAACCAAAACCAAGGTACCTGCCCTTGACTGGAATCAAACCCATGACTCATTAGTCTGCAGGCCAATGCTCTAACGGCTGAGCCAAACCGGCCAAGGCTCAGGGTGGAGTTATTTATTTATTTATTTTTAATCCTCACCCGAGGACATTTTTGCATTTATCTTCAGATAGAGCAGGGGGGGCGGGGGGAGAAACATCTACGTGAGAGAGACATGTCGACTGGTTGCCACCCACCCGATCCTAACCGGGGCCGGGGACAAACTGCAACCAAGGTACCTGCCCTTGGCGGGAAACGAAGCTGGGATTCTGGTCTGCAGGCCAATGCTCTAACCGCCGAGCCAAACTGGCCAGAGCTGGGTGGAGTCTTTTATAAACTCACCTCTAAGTCTTGTGTTCCAGGAGCCCAAGTTAATGCGTCCCAGGGCATTCTGTGTGCAAAGCACTTCTTTCTAAAGGGTGTATAGCCCTGGCCGGTTGCTCAGTGGTTAGAGCATTGGTCCGCGGACCAGAGTCCTGGGTTCGGTTCCCGCTAAGGGCACGTACCTCGGTTGCAGTTTGTCCCTGGCCCTGGTTGGGGTCATGCGGGTGGTGACCACTCGATGTGTCTCTCTCACATCGATGTTTCTCTCTCTCTTTTCCTACCTCTCTCCTTCCCACTCTATCTCAAGATAAATGCCAAAACGTCCTTTGGTGAGGATAAAAAAAACAGTGTATGACTTCCTATGGCTGTTGTAACCAATTCAGTGGCTTAAATAATATAAATTTATTCCCTTAAAGCTCTGGGGTCAGGAGTCCACATGGGTCTCATGGGGCTAAACCCAGCTGTGGGCAGGGCTGGTCCTTCAGGAAGCTCCAGGGAGAATGGTTTCAGGCCTTTTCCAGCTTCTGGAGGTGCTGCAACCTTGGCTTGTGTCCCTTCCTCCATTTGCATAGCCTCTTCCAGCTCTGTGACCCTCATGCCTCCCTCTTATAAGGACCCTGTGAGGACACTGTCCTTCCCCCAACCCCTAGGAAATCCAGGATCATCCCCATCTCAGGGGCCTTAACTCAATCCTATCTGCAAAGTCCCTTTACCCTGTGGGAACGACATGTCCACAGATCCCTGGACTAGGATGGAGATGTGTTGGGGGGGCCATTATTCCAAATAACAGTAACAGCTCCCAAATTCTTAAACTGGTCCTGGAAATTGTTGTGGTACACTTGCAAACCAAACAGTAAGGAGTAATAGTATCTACAGAAGGTATTTACAAATAACACGGAATTAATTCACTTGGAAGAGAAACTTCTCCTTTCCCAGAGTTAGCACGCCCTCTAGGGGCCAGAAGCCACACTGGGTTCCCAGGTTCCTTGCTGCCAGTCCGCCCAGTGGCTCCGCATAGCCCTTTCCGTCCACTAGGCGCCTTTCCCCACCTGCTCTCCCCCAGAGGCATGGCCTGCAACCCCTCTTGCAAAAAAACCAAATCCTGCTGGCTCTGACACCGTGACATTTTACATCTGAAAGGAGCCCCTGAGAGGAAGATGTCTGCTTTCATTTTTTACATATGAGAGAAAAGTTTGAGTGTCACTCTGTCCCGTGTCCAAGGTTGCAGGGCTAGTTAGTAACGGCTCTCTTCCCTCTCAGTCAATTCTTCTGCACTTGGTACATTTCCTGGAAAATTCTCTCACATGGCAAAAAGACAAAGAGTTAGAATCATGAGCCCAGCTGGTGTGGCTCAGTGGTTGAACGTCGACCCATGCACCAAGAGGTCGGTGGTTTGATTCCAGTTCAGGGCACATGCCCAGGTTGTGGGCCAAACCCCCAGTTGGGGACACGGAGGAGGCAGCCAATCGATGTTCTCTCTCATCGGTGTTTCTATCTCTCCCTTCCTCTCTCTCTCTCTAAATTCAATAAAGAAAAAAAAATTTTTTTTTTTTTTTTTTTTATCCTCACCTGAGGACATTTTTCTATTTTTTGTTCAGGTAGAGTGGGAGGGAGAGAGAGGAAGAGAGAGAGAAACATCGATGTGAAAGGGACACATCGAGTGGCTGCCACCTGCACGACCAACCAGGGCCGGGGACAAACTGCAACCGAGGTACGTGCCCTTAGCGGGAACTGAACCCGGGTCTCTCGGGACCGCAGGCAGACGCTCTAACCGCTGAGCCAAACCGGCCAGGGCAGAAAAAAAAAATTTAAAAAGAGTTAGAATCACATTGGGTGAGTGGGGGGAGTAAGTCAGACACTGGGGGACGCGAAGTTGTTTTTGACACTTTCATCCTAATAGTCCCCACTCTGCACCCCATGAAATTCTAACCTACTCACATTCTTTGCATCTGTTTATCTATTGGGGGTGCTTTGGTGGACCACAAGCAATTGTGACATCTATTTCCTCACCCCTTAGGGACAAGAGCACCCCAATGACAATGACAGTGATGTGTTCGGGCACCAGGCCCTCCTTCCAGGAAAACAGAAATGACAGCCAGCAGCAGAGGGTACAAAAATGGCACAATTTATTCTGATGTTCATGTGGGAATACCCAACAGGCACAAGAGGGTGGGGAGGAGACCCTTCCTGCCCCACAGTCCCCACCACCTTCTCCAACCTGGCCTGGGAGTGGTGACCTGGGAGGGACACAGTGGTTCTGGCATTTGGTCCTGGTTTTGTATTTAAATGGAACTACATTCAATTGGACGGTTTTCTGCAGTCCTACAGGGTCCATGTCCCCAGGGATCTGAGAGCTGGACCGGGTGGTGTCCAGAAGGATTAGGCTGAGGTTGTGTTAATTGCACTGTTCGGTGTCAGCTGTTGGTGCCTCTCTTCTGTGGGCATTCCAGACACCCAGAGATCCTCAGAGGTGGGTGTGGTTGGGTGGGAAGGACTGCCATGAAAAAGGCCACTGTTGAGGGGCAGCATGTGGCTTTCTGAGGTCACTTCCGTGCCTGGTCATATGCTCCTGTTCTTTGGAGAGACAGCGCTGGGACTCTGGTCCCCTGGCCACGAAGGGCTATACCAAGGGTTTCACATAAAGTGGGAAGGAACCTGAAGAAAGGCCAAGTTCAGAGACCCCCAAACTCAGGACAGGCTCTCTGGGAGGGTCATCCTGGGTTATTCATAATGGAGGGATATTTATTTAGAGGGGAGGTGAGTTCACTATTTATAGACAAAAAGCTGCCCTGGCCGGTTTGGCTCAGCGGTTAGAGCGTCAGCCCGTGGACCAATGAGTATGAGGTTTGAGTCTGGTCAAGGGCACGTACCTCAGTTGTGGTTCGCTTCCCGCCCTGGTCGGGTCATGCGGGAGACAGACAGTCAATGTGGCTCTATCACATCGATGTTTCTCTCTGTCTCTCTCCCTCCCTCCCTCCCACTCTATCTCATGATAAGTAGAGAAATATCCTCAGGTGAGGAATTAAAAAAAAAAAGCTGTTTTCCATTGATATCTCAAGGTAGTTATCACTGAGACTGTATAAAAACTCAATCTTTTATGATATGTGAAGAGGCCAAAGGACACCTGGGGTGCGGATGCAGGGTCTGGGGAACTGTGACAGATGAGCAAAATGTTTTAGAGGAACTAAAGGAACAGAAGAGGACTAAGGAAGAGAGGAGTGGGGGGAAGGGAGCCAGGGCCACGTCGTACCTGTCATGACACAGACATGAGGCTGCAGGAGGCTTGCTGTGAGGGAACTGAGGCTTGAAGGCCTGGCTGAAGCAGTCCCTGTCTTGCTGACCCAGAGCCTGCGCAGCCTCTGGGCACGCTAGGGACATTAAGGGACAGGCCTGTGAAGGGCAGGCAGAGCTCCAGCCTTTTGGCAGATCCAAGTGCTTTATAGATAAAGTGGATTTTCCCAGTTGCCCACAGCACAGAGAATCACAGAGTTTCAAGTTCAATCTCCCGCCGTGGGGCTCTGGGAAGCTGGGCCCCAATGTGCGTGGACCCACAGAAACTGCCACCTCAGAGTTAGAGAAAGGACTCAACTCCAGTGTCCAGTGCAGCATTGGGGGCACAGAGGTCACTGTTGGACAGCTGTGGAAGTCACTGAGCCGCTGGGGCCGAAAACACAGTCCATGTTCCAGGAAGGTGGCCCTCAAGTTGAGTGTCCCTGGCACTGCTGCAGTGAAAGTGGGGCCAAGGGGCTTTCAGTGGCATATCCGTGCAGTCATTTCTTTCTGTTAAGAACAAGCAGGACATCAGGTATTGACATAAGAGGCGACAGAAATCACACACACCTACAGAAAAGCAGGGGATGCACTCTCAAGAGACTCATGGGCCTCATTTAAGGCCAAACCTTACAGAAGAGAGAATGGACAGCAGCTCATGTAGGGCTGGGTGTGGCAAACTCTGTGAAGGGCCTGCGAGGCTACTCTGTCAGCTCTGAGGGTCAGATGGTGTCTGTCTGGTGTTCACCTCTGTTCTTGTTGCTGAAAGCAGTGGCAGTAGTAACTGAATGGCCGAGTGTGCCAATAAAACCATTCACAAAATCCAGTTTACTGGCCCCTGCCTTCGGGTGCCCCAGTGTCCCCCTCCCTGGTCCCCTCAATCCCTGCCCCACTCACTAGCGGCTCCAGCTCCTTGGTGTCTATGAGGCCGAACTCCTTGACAAAGTAGTAGAAGTGCTTGTAGCAGGTGTTGACGTGCGCCTCGGAACCCATCTGTGCAATGCGGTCAAAGTGGTGGATATAGACATGCACAAACACACGGAACAGCCGGGACAGTATCTTCTTTACCACCTGCAAGAAGTTCCTGGGGAACGGTGTGCCTGTGAACAGCAAGAGGGCCAGGGCTGAGGAAGCAGCCTCAGGGGCCCAGCTTGGCCCTGAAACCACACCACCCTTGGATTGGGGGCGTGAACCAGCCTGGAAACTAGCAAGCCTCAGGGAGGCTGAGAAGCCTGCCCAAGTTCATAGAGCCCATGTTCTGGTATCCTCCTGAAGCCAAGTGTTGATTGGGTGGGAGGTGTCTGTCCCAGGGCCAAACCAGGCAGGGCTAATTTCTTTTCTTTCTTTTTTTTTTTATCCTCACCCGAGGACACTTTTCCATTTTTTGTTCAGATACAGCGGGAGGGGGAGAGAGAGAGAGAGAGAGAGAGAAACATCGACGTGAAGGGACACATCGAGTGGCTGCCACCCGCACGACCAACCAGGGCTGGGGAAAAACTGCAACCGAGGTACGTGCCCTTAGCGGGAACCAAACCCGGTTCTCTCTGTACCGCAGACCGACGCTCCAACCGCTGAGCCAAACCGGCCAGGGCTAATTTCTTTACTTTTTTTTTTCTTTCTTTATCTTCACCTGAGGACATTTTTGCATTTAGCTTCAAATAGAGCAAGAGGGAGAAAAGGAGGAAGAGAGAGAGAGAAACATCGACATGAGAGAGACACATCAACTGGCTGCCATCCACACGATCCCAACTGGGACCGGGGATGAACTGCAACCCAGGCACGTGCCCCTAGCGGGAACTGAACTGGGACTCTCTGGTCCACGGGCTGACTCTCTAACCACTGAGCTAAACTGGCCAGGGCTAATTACTTTTCAAAACTGTGGTTAAATAGACCTGGCATGTTTGGTTCAGTGGTTAGAGCGTTGGCCTGCAGACCAAAGGGTCACAGGTTCAATTCCTCGTCAAGGGTATGTACCTGGGTTGCAGGTTCAATCCCTGGTCCCGGTGGGATTGTGTGGGAGGCAATCAATCAATGTGTCTCTCTCACATTAATCTCTCTCTCTCTCCTCCTCCCTCCCTCCCTTCCACTCTATCTAAAAAATCAATAGAAAAATACCCTATTGCCTCAGCATCTGATGACATCACCAAAGATGTTCTAAATGCAGACAATCTGATAGATTGTCAGACTGTCACTGTGTGATTTCATTCCAGTGGAAGCCTTACATCTAGAAATCTTCTCAGTTGGTTTATGATTTACTGTATACATTAACCTTTTAGTTTTGTGTTCTTCTGTTTCATAGAATGTATGCCTGTGTTCTTGTTTATATAATTGCTTACTCACACAGTATAGGCCTCGTTATAGAAGTCATCTGTAAAGACTTCCGGTCAAGATGGCAGCATAGGTAAACGGGGTATCGCGTCCTCCCACAACCACATCAAAGTTACAACTAAACTACAGAACAACCATCATTTAAAACCGCCTGAAATCAAGCTGAAAGGAAGTCCTACAACTACAGAATTAAAGCAGCAGCCACATCAAGACCGGTAGGAGGGGAGGGGGCTGTTGGGCTGGTCCCACACCCACGTGTGACGGATAAAAATCAGGAGGATACCTCAGCTGGGAAGGTCCTCCCTGAGGGGGTCCCTGTCCCACACCAGGTGCCCCAATCAGGGGTCCAGTGCCAGGAAGAGAAGTCCCCATAACTTCTGGCTGGAAAAACCAGTGGGAACTGAGGCTCAGTGAGGCTGAGGCAGCTGGAGCCCCAGGCAGCTCCTCTTAAAGGGCCCGCACATGGACTTATCGGACTCCCTCCCTCTAAGCTTGGAGGGGAGGCAGCTCGAGGGGCGCCAGAGACATACAGGGAAGAACTGAGCTGTTTGGCACTGGAGCGAGGGCTGGAGAGGGGGCTTTCTCCAGGAGAAGCGTGCTGTCAGAGGCCTTTGTTCCTTTGGTGAGCCCTTCCCTGGTGGGGACAGACATCCGCCATATCTAAGACTCCAGCAACCTGGCTCACACTGGTAGCACCACCCCGGTGAGGAAGGAAGGGAGAATCTCTGGATTTCGCCCTCCCCGACACCGCCATCAGCAGGAAGCAGTTACAGAAGAGACTCGATGCTCCTTTCCCTTGAAAGGATTCAGAGCCCAAATCCATAAGGGGAAATATAATAGGCCAGGAATAATACAGTTAAGCAAGACACTTTCCATTTAAAACTAATGTCATAAATATGAGATGATAAAATCAACAGGAGGGAATGAAAAGGGTGGGAGAGAATAATAGAATAATTGAGAATTAATCCTAGTAGGGCATTAGTTATAGTTATAAGAAATGTTAAATATCCTTGCTCTGTTAATCGTGATTGCTTTGTCTTGATTAAAGAAAGCCCATTCTGACCTGGCTGGGAATTGTATACCCTGGGAGTTGACCTCAGAAATGCTATCCATCCTCCTTACCTGAGAACAAGGGAAAGCTGCTCAACATCACATCATGGAAAGACTAACAACCTTGGAGCCCTGGAGGCAGACAACCCCAGCCCACATTACTTCCCCATACCTGTATTCTGTAACCATTTTACCCATTGATATTCCTCATGCCTGTAATCTTTAACTGTGTTACCCATTGTTATTTCTTTTTTGCCTACCTGCCCTTCCCCACATAGCTACCCAATATAAGCTACAGAGGGAGTGCAGAGCAGATTTGTCAGGGATGAGCCACTGCTCTCCCACACTGCCAGCAATACTGGAATAAATGCTCATATACGATTCAAAAAAGAAGAAAGAAAAATATCCTTGGGTGAGGATTAACAACAACAACAAAAAGTTGAATCAATAAAGAAAAATTTTTTAAAAAATTGTGGTAAAATGAGATTCCCTATGCGAGACATTCTAGGTGACAGTTTGGTGGTATTAGGCACATTCACGTTGCTGTGAGCACCTATGGGTTCCTTCCCACTCCTGCCTGCTTCCTCCACCAAGATGTCCTCTTCATCCCCAAAGCAAGACAGAAGCCACATACATGTTCATGAGATCCAACCAGCACTATACTAGGAAGGTGCCTGGGACCAGGACTGACAGACTGGCCCATTTTCTAAAATCTTCACTCGAGGATATTTTTCTATTTATCTTCAGATAGAGTGGGGAGTAAGAGGGAGAGAAAGGGAGAGAGAGGCACACACACACACACATCGACTCCCGAACAACCCGGACCAGAGCCGGGGATGAACCGTAACTGAGGTACATGTCCTTGGCCAGAATCAAACCTGCGACTCACTGGTCGGTGGGTTGACGCTCTACCACTGAGCCAAACTGGCCAGGGCTGGCCCATCATCTATTTTAAAAAAAAATTGATTTGAGAGAGAGAGAGATTTGTGGCTCTACTTATTTATGCATTCATTGGTTGATTCTTTCTGGTTCACAGGCTAACGCTCTAACCGCTGAGCCAAACCAGCCAGGGTTATTGGTTGATTCTTATATATGCCCTGACCAGAAATTGAATCCACAACCTTGGCATATCAGGATGATCTCTAACCAACTGAGCTACCCAGCCAGGGCCAGACCAGCCCATCCTTGAAGAGAGGGGCTGAGAGGCTGATTGACCAGCTGAGGACACACAGATGTGGCTAACCATGGGAAAGCGGCAGTGCACTAGGCACATGCTCTCAGGAGATGGGACCTCTCAGGAGATGGAATATTATCAGCTAGATAGCACTGTGCTCATCAGGCCTGCAGATGGCTAACATCCCAAAGAGGTCCAGGGGAGTGCAGGACATCCATGTGTAGGAAAGCTCAAGATGAAGTGTCTGCAGCAAGACTGGGACCCGCAGCCCTGAATGGGAAGCTGACAGCTGCTCGCCACTGGGGAAAGTCTGAGACGTGTCCAGTTAAAAGGTAATTGGGAAAGGACAGACTCTCTGTACATGACAAGTCCAGCCTGGCTCTGCTCCCTCCTCTGTGTCTGGGGCCAGATCACCTCCCCCACCTAAGAACTGATGGCTCTTGTATTCTCTTGACTGTATTCCCTGGGAGAGGGCGTACCAGCAGACAGCAAGGGTAAAGCTGAGGAAGGGGAGTGATTTAGAGCAGCCCAGCCCAGGAGAAGGGCTTAGAAATGTAATCTCTAGGCCTGTTCAGAGTAGTTCAGTTGGTTGAGTATTGTCCTGTGCACTGAAAGGTTGCTGGTTCAGTTCCTGGTCAGGATATGTACTTGGGTTGTGGGTTTTCAATCCTGGTTAGGGGCACTTATGTAAGGCAACCAATTGATGTTTCTCTCTCTCTCTCTCTCTAAGCATGTCCTGGGTGAGGATTAAAAAAAAAAAAAGAAATGTAATCTCCAGGACCGCACAGCCCACACTTGCAACAGTATTCTCATGCAGGGGTTAAAATGTGGCCCACTACCGCTTTTGTAAATAAAGTTTTATTAGAACACAGACCCACCTGTAAGGGGTGGGGAGTGACAGTCCATCGGGTGGTATTAGGCCCATGAAATCAATACCAGCTAACATCACATACCTCACCAAATTAGTTTGACCAAATATAGAAGGCTAATTTTTTTAATCCTCACCTGAGGACATTTTTGCATTTATCTTCCTACAGAGTGGGAGGGAGAGAGGAAGGGAGAGAGAGAGAAACATTGATGTGAAAAGAGATACATGGATTGGCTGCCACCCACACACCCCAACAGAGGCCGGGGACGAACTGCAACCGAGGTACGTGCCCTTAGTGGGAACCGAACTCGAGACTCTCTGGTCTGCGGGCCAACGCTCTAACCGCTGAGCCAAACCAGCCAGGGGTAGAAGTCTAATTTTTAAGGTGATTTTGTATGGGCCATGAATGATGTTATAAATATCCAAATGGTTGGCCCTTGGTAGACAAAAGGTTCCCCACCCCTGGTTTACATAGTGTCTATGGCAGCTTTTGGACTACATGGCAGGTCTGAGTAGTAGACACAGACCTCTGGGTCATAAAGCCTGAAAGATACACTGTGTGGTCTTTTTTTTTTCTTTGTCCTTAGGATTTTATGGTTTTATTAACACAAATACAATGTGTACACAATCTGACTATTCACTGTCTTCGCTGTGCAGCCTGGCATTGGGATCGAGGACTCTGATGGCCATCTGGGCTGCTCTTTCCACAGTGGCTTTGTGGGTCTTCGAGGAGACGTTATGAGCAATCTCAGCACTTCAAACTCTTTGACACTGTGGCCCAAGAAATTCCAAAACCACTGGCAGCATGTGCTTTGTTTTCTTGTTGCTCCCATAACCAATGTTGGGCACCAAGATCTGGCCCCTGTATCTTCTGTGTACCTTATCATCAATGCCTCTGGGTTTCCACCAGTTACACTTAATTTTGATGTATTGGTCTGACTGGTGCTGGATGAATTTCTTGGTCCTCCATTTGACAATCTTGGGTTTCTATGAAGGGTCTGAGGGCAGTGATGGTGCCGGTAGGAGATGGCTGCCACCTCCGTAGGCAGTGCCAAGGAAGAGTTATTGTGTTTTTTGTTTTTTTTTATCCTCACCTGAGGACATCCTTCCATTTTTTGTTCAGGTAGAGTGGGGGGGAGAGAGAGGAACAGAGAGAGAGAGAGAAACATCGATGTGAAAGGGACACATCGAGTGGCTGCCACCCGCACAACCGACCAGGGCCGGGGACAAACTACAACCGAGGTACAAGTTATTGTGTTTTTTACAGAAAAGTTTGCCACCCCAATGTCACATTAAAGAGCATGAGCTGGTGGCTTGGGGCCTAAGTAGATGTACAGGTGTCAATGGCACAGGTGTGGGAGACTGGGATGAAATTTGGACCCAATCCTTTCTTTGCTCAGCCATATATCTTACCCCATGGAATGCCCAGCAGGCTCTGGTTCTTGGAAGCACCAAAGACAAGCAGAGATGGCCAGCTGTCCATGCAAAATATTCCATTCCACCTTCCTGGCTGGGGGTCAATCAAAACAGTCTGAGGGGCCCCAGGATTTGCATATAGCTCAGAAAGATGTGGCCTGGGAGAGACAGGCTCTCAAGGAAAGCAGTGGTGACCCCAGATCCTGTGATGTGGCCATGTGGCAGAGGCCAGGGCCCAATGTGTACTCATTTTCTTCACTGTGCAGCCTGGCCCTGGGATTGGTGATTCTGATGACCAGCTGGGCTGTCCTTGCCACAACAGATTTGTGGTTCTTTGGTAAAACTGCTAAAATTATCATTCCACAGGTGAGGAGCTGACTAGAGGAACTCAGGGTCTAAGTTCTAGGATGAGGACCCCTTCAGGAGCTGTCAGGACTTTAGGGGGACCCAGGAGGCTGTGAGTCAGAACAGGGAGCACGTGCAGATATGGACTCCAGGGCCACAGCAAGACTTGGTGACCTGATAGGTGGGTAGGAGCATCTGTGAAACCCTATTTTGGGAAAGTGTCTATTCTGAGTTGGTCTTTTCTCAGGCCTCTGAAAGCCCTCTGCTAGTGGCAGGCCTGTATCCTGTACAAAGGATGAGTGAGGTCCAGAGGAGTGAGAAACTTGACCATGTGCAGAACCTGTCAGCAACTAAGAGCTGGGACCTGAGACCTGTTTACTGATTTCCATGATGCTGTGTCAATGCCAATGGGGAAAGGGAGAAGGGCCTCTGTGTGGGTATCCTAGGGCTACTGTAACAAATTATCACTGACATAGTGCTTTTACTTTTTTTATCCTCAGCCAAGGATATTTCTCCATTTATCTTCAGGTAGAGAGAGAGGGAGCGAAAGAGAGAGAGAGAAACATCGACGTGAGAGGGACACATCAACTGGTTGCCTCCCATATGACCCCCACCAGGGCTGGGGACAAACTGCAACCGAGGTACATGCCCTTGGCTGGAATCAAACCCGGGACGCATTGGTCTGCAGGCCGACGCTCTACCACTGAGCGAAACCAGCCAGGGCCGACATAGCGCTTTTTTTGGTTTTGGTTTTTTTTTTATCCTGACCTGAGGATATTTTTCCATTTTTGTTCAGATAGAGTAGGAGGGAAAGAGAGGAAGAGAGAGAGAAACATCGACATGAAAGGGACACATTGAGTGGCTGCCTCCTGCACGACCCCAACCAGGGCCGGGGACGAATGCAACCCAGGTACAAGCTCTTGACCGGAACCTGCAACACATTGGTCTGTGGGCCGACACTCTAACCGCTGAGCGAAACCAACAAGGGCCGACATAGTGCTTTTAAAACAACTTGCACCCTGGCTGGTTTAGCTCAACGGTTAGAGTGTCGGCAATTAGTCGTGGGTTTGATTCTAGCCAAGGACACATACCTCTGTTGAGGTTTGTCCCTGGCCCTTGTTAGGGTCGTGCAGGAGGCAACCTGTCAATGTGTCCCTCTCCTGTGGATGTTTCTCTTTCTCTCTCTCTCTCCCCCTCCCTCTCACACTCTATTAAAAACAAAACAAAACACAACAAAACAACTTGCATGTGCTTTCTCACCGTCCTAGAGACCAGAAGGCCCACATCAGACTTAAGGGCTGCCGTCAGGGTGTGGGCAAGGTTGCTTCCTTTTAGAGGCTCCAGGGAGAATTCATTTCCTTCCCTTTCTGGAGGCTGCTGGCATTCCTGGGCTTATGATTCCCTCTTCCTTCTCCTGTTGTCACATCACCTTCTCTTCTGTGCATTGAATGTCCCTCTGCCTCTTTTACAAGGACCCTTCTGATGAAATTTAGGGCCCACCTGGATAATCCAGAATAATCTCCCCATCTCAAGAGCCATAATATAACATGAAGCAAATCATGGCCCACCCACACAGTAGAATAGTACTCAATCATGAAAGGAGTGAGGCACTGACACTCTACATTGTGGATGGACCTTGAACACATGATGCTCAGTGAGAGAAGCCAGACACAAAAGGCCAAATCCACAGAGACAGGAAGTGAATTGGTGGTTGTTAGGGGCTGGGGTGACTGCTAATGGGGATAGGGAATCTTTTTGGGGTAATGAAATGTTCTGGAATTAGAAGGGATGGTTGTAGCCCTGGCTGGTTTGGCTCAGCGGTTAGAGTGTTGGTCTGCTTACTGAAGGGTCACAAGTTCGATTCCCAGTCAAGGACACATACTTGGGTTGCAGGTTCAATCCTGGCCCCCTGGTCGGGGTTGTGTGGAAGGCAACCAATCGATTTCTCTCTCCTCCTCCTTTCCTTCCACTCTAAAAATTAATGGATCCCTGGCCAGTTTGGCTCAGTAGTTAGAGGATTGGCACGCAGATCTGAGAGTCCTAGGTTTAGTTCCCACTAAGGGCACGTACCTTGGTTGCAGTTTGTCCCAGCACCGGTTGGAGTAGTATGGGTGGCAACCACTCAATGTGTCTCTCTCACATCAACATTTCTCTTTCTCTCTTCCTCCCTCTCTCCCTCCCACTCTATCTGAAGATACATGCAAAAATGTCCTTGGGTGAGGATTAAAAAAAAAAAAGAAAAACATCTTCGGGTGAGGATTAACAAACAAAACACAACAAACACACACACAAACAAAAAGAAGGGATAGCTGCATAACCCTGTGAATGTACTAAATGCCACTGAACTTATACTTTAAATGGGTGGATTTCACAATTTGTGAATTCTAGCTCAGTAGAGCTGTTATTAAAAAAACACACTCCCGCCCTGGCCAGTTTGGCTCAGCGGTTAGAGCGTTGGCCTGCGGTCTGGAGAGACCCGGGTTCGGTTCCTGCTGAGGGCACGTACTTCGGTTGCAGTTTGTCCCCGGCCCTGGTTGGTCGTGCGGGTGGCAGCCACTCGATGTGTCCCTTCACGTCGATGTTTCTCTCTCTCCCTCCCTTCCTCTCTCTCCCTCCCACTCTATCTGTACAAAAAGTGGAAAAGTATCCTCGGGTGAGGATAACAAAAAAAAAAACAAAAACAAACAAACAAACAAAAAAACACACTCCCATCCCAGGCTGCTCGACTCACCAACGTTGGTGGGGAAGACCTCCTCGTTGTTGATCTGCACCTCGATCCAGTCCATGAGCAGGTCCATGTACCGTGGGGCCGACAGTGCTGTGGGCTTGCGGAACTTGTGCTCGTCCTGCCAGCGGTACTCATACTTGGGGCCTCCCGACATGATGGGGCAGGACTGCTCGGTGCAGCCATCGCTGATGGTGCCGTAGATGAGGTTGACACGATTGAAGAAGTCCACCACATGCACGGCCACCCAGTCATTGAGCTCCTCGCCGGCAGGCAGCTGCACGGCCAGCTTCAGGTCCAGCCCAGCGTTCAGTGATGCCTGTGCCTTCTTGTGCAGTTCGAATCGCTGGGTGCCAGGCTCAAACTTGCGCTTGGGGCGGAAGGTCTTGTCCTTATTGAAGACCTGCTTCAGGAAGGGGTTGGACATTGTGGTCCTCACTGCTCGCTCCTGAGTGAGGCCTCCACAAAGGGGGCTGGGCAGGATGCTGATGTCAGCCACCAACCCAGAGGCAAGTGGAAATTCACTAGCTCCCAGGTCTTCCCTGAGATCTGGAATACAGAGAGGAAAAATTGTCACCTGTTCCTGGAAACCCTGTTCTAGAAGCAAGAGTGGGCCACACTGGGGAGTTTTCCAAGGACTTGTGGTTTTGAGTTTTACCAAAAGGGTGCTGGCTCCTCAGTAAACAGAACTGCCCTCAAGCATGTCACGACCGCTTCAGAGCAGATGCTGAGTCAGGACCTCTGAGAGCCCAGGCCAGCCAGCATCCTACTCCTGCCCCCAGCACCCACACACTTACTATAAAGTGGGACAGAGTGTACTAAAACATGCACGGGCACAGGGTGACCACAGAGGGCTAAGTGGCGGCCTCTGTACAGACATGTTCACATCCCCAGGACCTGCAAATGGGACCTTATTTAGAAAAAGGATCTTTGCAGACATGATTAAGTTAAGGATCTTAGGATGCGCTTGTCCTGGATTATCCAGGTGGGAACTTAGATGACGTGTGCCCTTACAAGAGGAAACACACAGACACACAGGGAAAAGTCCATGTAATAACGGAGACTGAGATGGAGTGACCTGTCTATAGGCCAAGGGATCGCAGGGATCACTGCCACAGCCATGAGACAGTCACTCACTCTGAGCCTCAGAGGGGACCAGCCTTGCAGACACCCTTTAGGGCTGAGAGGGAATAAATTCCTGTTGCTTCTCTGTTCTTCTGTGTCTAAATCTCAACATTAGATTAGGGCCCATCTTAATCCAGTGGGAACTCATTTGATCATCTTTTTTTTTAAAGAAAGAGACATTTTATTAACATTGTTACGGCAATGCGGTACATGAAGGGATCCTCAGTGCACAGCCCGCCTGAGCTGCAAGCAGATAAATCAGAGTGAAACCGATTATTGTACGCAGGTGCAGACACAGGATCACCCTGAATCTCAAACAGAAGACTGAAAATCACTTTACAAAAAAAAAGAAGTAAATAAAAATAACACCCATTTTTTTTTTCTATTTAAAAAGGTGCCAGCTCTTGAGTGGCAGAGCATGGAAAGACCAATCGCTTTAATGCTCACTCGAGTGTTGAGCTGTACAACCTGTGGGGGCCAGGATGTCTTGGCTTCTAAAGCTCAACTTAAGCATTCCAGAGTTTCACCTTTTGAAGTACTTCTTCTTTTTTTGTGTGTGTGTGGTACGTGCCCCTAGCAGGAACCGAACCTGGGACTCTCTGGCCCGCAGGCTGACGCTCAACCGTTGAGCCAAACTGGCCAGGGCTGAAGTACTTCTGTTTTAAAATTCTCTTTCTCTGCTAATTTCTTAACTGTGTCAGTCTAACAGTTAGCCAGCTTTCTTCAGTTTTAAGACCAGAGAACCTCCCTTTGTAAAGTTTATATCTGAGTCAAGAATGAAGAGAGACCAAACAGCAGAACCATAAAAAGTCAAATGATAGTGGAGTTAGTGCCCAATTAGAAAAGTACTTTACCCTCCCCTCCTTAATGTTTAACCAGTTAGCAAAATATTTAACCAGTTAGCAAAATATTTAACCCCGTTAGCAAAATTAACACCGTCACTGCAATAGTTACTCTTTTGTGCATAGTAAATGTTGCAGATGAACTTCACACTGGATAAAGCAGATCTGAAAATCAGTTTGCAATAAAGTATGCCTCCCTCAACATCAACCTAAGCTCAGGGAAATGAACACAGGCCCCGTAGCTTCTGCTGGTCTGCGGCTGTGCTAAGTCGTCTGGTAGCCGGCATGTTTCCTCTTCCTGCCGATAAGGTAGGCGATGAGGACGATAAGGACCAGCCCTGCCAGGGCACCACCGACGGTGATGGGGATTAACATGTTATTCTCATCCAGCTAACATTCTTCCACAGACCCAAACTTGTCACCTTCTACCTGGAAAGCCTGGATTTGTACTTGGAAAATGTTGACAGAAAAGGCCTCTGTGACCCAAATTTGCTCCTCGGTGTTACACTTGTAGGAATTCCCCATAGTGGCCTGAAGTGCTCTCAGTGAGTTGGTGGCCTTGAAGGTGGGGTCTCTGGCATCAGGAAGAGTCATGTTCAACTGGATTTCTTGCAGGAAAAAATGGCTAGAACTTGCATTCATTCCCAACTGGAAGACTAGGAAAGTGCTGCTCTCACTCTGGAGTTCCAGGGTCACCTGCTGAGGAGCGCAGCACCCAGTGACTTGGGTCTTATTTGGGTTGATAATGAACACTCTGGTCATAGTCGTGTTATCCTTCTTCTTGTAGGTGACATTCAGCTGCAGCCCCATGCTGGCCAGCAGACAGGTTCCATGGGTGCCACTCACAGTGTACTTTTTTACCGAGGGGCTCTCAGGCACTGGGGATGGCGAAGGGTGGGGAGAAGGGTGAGGAGGGGATGTTGAATGGTGGGGAGTTGTTGGTGACACTGTTGGAGAAGGTCCATCTTGCATACAGCGCGTCTCTTCCTTGCTGAAGCTATCATCTGAAAGGTATGCCTGGATGGTGGCATTATGGAAAGTGACAGTTACATTCTTCATGTGTATCTGGTTGCTGCTCACACATCTGTATTTTTTATTTATGTCTGCCATGATGTCAGTTATGGATTCATTAGACTTGGTTTCATTGGAAATTGCACTGGGGAAAATCTGTGTGTCTGACAAGTCATAAACAAAACTCATCAACTAAACCCTGTAACGAGTTGCATTTCTTGCAAAAGTGAGGTTCAGTGTATGTCCTCCTCCAAAAGCAATCACAAGACTGGGGTTAGAAGCATTCTCTTTACCACAGGAGCTGGTATTTAATACTTTTGCATTAGATGGCAGGCTGAAGGTCACATTCTTAGGGCCAGTCTTGGTAATATAGTTGGTCAAGAAGTCAGCAGAGAAGTTAGTCATTATACAAGCTGTCCTGATGCCATCTTGCACCACAAACACTGCTGATGCACCATGCATGAGGCCTGCTAACTCGAGTAACAGCAGGAGCAGTGGCTGCCGCTGGGCACCACCAAGGGCCGCCATGGGAACCAGGTTCACCAGAGCAGGAGCCGGGAGGGGTCGGGTGGTTGGGCAGCGGGAGGGAGGGCGCTGGTGAAGGGCTACGGCCGGCTGGCCAGTCGATCCTGTGGTCTAGAGGCCCAGCAGCTGTAGCGCACACGGCAGGAAAGAGACCCCGGCGCCGGCGCCCATCACGTGAAGCCGCGGCACCCACGCTGTCACGTGACCTCATTATTTGATCATCTTGATGACATCTGCAAAGACCCCATTTCCAATGTGTGGATATGAATCTGGGGGGACACCATTCATCCAAGAACAGCATTTAAGAAGCTTGGACGAGCTTGTCTGGATCTTGTCTGTGCCTAAATGGGAACATGCCAGACACCTACCAGTTCTGGGGACAAGGCCTTCATGTGGGTGCTGCAGCCCACGTTCCTGCTATGAAGGCCTCAGTCTCCCACCTGATCCACCTTCTCCTGACTGTGCTTAGTCTCCTCCTCTGTTATGTGAAGAGACTAACAAGCTCCATCTCAGAGGAGAGAGGATGAAATGAAAATGCAAAGCCAGAGGCCTTGCTCACATTCAGGCTGCAATCACTGCATCACCACCAATATCACCATCACTCTGCCACAATGATGGAACCAGCCGACCTGTTGCCTCCTTGTCTCCATCTGCAGGCCCAGGTGGACGCCCTCCCGGGAGCGTGCACATGGTGGAAACAGAGGGAGAGTGGAGGCCAGTGGGGCTGTAGGGGTGGGGATCTTTTGGGCGTTCACCGATGAGAGGTAGCAAATAACCATTTATAGTATTATAGTAAATCCCCATCCCCTTTTTCTTTTTCTTTTTTTTTGTAATCCTTACCTGAGGACATCTTTGCATTTATCCTCAGATAGAGCTGGAGGGAGAAAGGGAGTAGATGTGAGAGAGACAAGTGGTTGCCACTCACACGACCCCAACCAAGGCCGGGGACAAACAGCAACTAAGTCTTTACCTTAAGTGAGCCCTGCCCTCTGTTCTTGTGCATCTAGGTTAACACCTTGGAAATGTTAGAGTGATTTTTTTCTTCCAGGAGAGTAATCACGCACCAGCTGGTACATTCCTCAGTGTTATCTTGTTGCCCACATTCCATTCCTATTTACTGTAAATGCCAAATGTTAACTATCCTGTACCCTCCAATGTACAAGAAGTATGTGTCTCTCCATTTTACTGTTTTTTTAAATCCTCACCAGAGGACATTTTTCCATTTATCTTCAGATAGAGTGGGAGGGGGAGAAAGAGAGAGAGAGACATTGATGTGAGAGAGACACACCAACTGGCTGCCTCCCGCTTGACCCTGACCAGGGCCGGGGACCAAACTGCAACTAAGGTACGTGCCCTTGACCAGAATCAAACCCACAAGTCTTTGGACTGCAGGCTGATGCTCTAACCACTGAGTGAAACCGGCCAGGGCTCTCCATTTTACTTTTTACCCAATCCTAGGATTTCCCACTTTGCTTTCTCCTTAAACCCCCACCAATGATTTCATGTAACCTTTCTTATTGTCCCTCCTTTGATTCCCAATACATAAAAAGAAATGCAAATGGCCATTCCGGAAGCATTTTCTCAATCCCTTGAGAACTAGCATCCAGAAATGTCCTCAGTTTTGCTCAAAAAACCTCTAATAAATTATTATAAGATCCTTCTATAGGTTTGGACATTCTTTTGTTGACAGTGGGAGTTCATTTCTGTGACATGTGGCCAGCAGGCTTGTCTGGTTACCCACCCTCAAGACAGCATACCATGCAGCAAATGATCACAAACTAAGAGGATTGGACCTCACATCTTCTACAGGGATGCGGCAACAGAGTATGATCCACCGAGGTCAGCACTGCCAAGGCCAAACTCAGCCAAAGGGAAGAACATGTTCACTCTGAACACAGCACCCAGCTCAGTGCAGTAAGGTGTAGCCATGGTCAAGTCTCGTTCTTCCCGGGCCCCAGTGAGTGAGCTGGGGCCAAGGTGAAGTGACTCAGGTACAAGATGGCCCAAGGGTGCTGAGGATTTCAGCAAAGTTAGAGAGAGCTGAGTCATGATTTGGGCCACATCCTGGAGCCCAGAGCCTCCTTCAGGCTTGGCCCTGCCCATCTCTGGGCACAGGAAGAGTCTCTGAGGGTGGAGGGCTCCTGGGACCTGGCCTTCGAGAGATTCCTTCAGAACCACTGCCAATACAAGTCCCTCCCATTGCCGGGGTCAGAGGAAACACAGCAGAGCCCACCAGAGCCATCCTTCTGTACTTCTCTATGTACTCAATGGACACTTCATGTCAGAAGGCCAGGCTCTGCCTTCTAAAAGCCTTTGGTTTAATTTCAGATATATAATAAAAAAAGCCTAGCCCTGGCCAGTTTGGCTCAGCAGTTAAGAGTGTCAGCCTGCGGACCGAACGGTCATGGGTTCAATTCCTTGTCAAAGGCATGTACCTGGGTTGCAGGTTTGATCCCTGGCCCTAGTTGGGGTTTGGGGGAGGCAATCAATCAATGTGTCGCACATCAATGTTTCTCTCTCTCTCTCTCCCTCCCTTCCTTCCATTCTATCTAAAAATCAATGAAAAAATATCCTCAGGTGAGGAGTAACAATCTATCAATCAGTAAATAGATAAATAAATAAATAAATAAATAAATACCTAAACCAGTGTTCTCACCTGGGTGATCCTGCCCCTAGGGGACCCTGGGCAGTGTCTGGGGACATTTATAGTTGTCACACTGGTGGTGCTCCTGGCATTGAGTGGGAGGGGGCCAGAAATGCTGCTCAACCCCCCACAGTGCCCAGGTAGCCCTCCACAGAGAGTGACCTGGTCTCAGTGTCAGCAGTGCCAGGGGGGAGGGGAGGAGTAACGAGGAAGAGAACCTGATTTCGGTCATTTCACACAATTGGTGAAATCTGGCAGAGCTTCCCTACTGTTTGGCCTGAGCCATGTAAAACACAGAAGCTGAGCATGGGGACAATGGAGCCAACCAAAGACAGCAGGGCTGGAGGACAGGAGAAACCCCAGTGCAAAGAGAAGTGAATTACCCTCACACACAAGCCCTGGCTGGGTGGCTCAATTGGTCAGGACACATACACAGGTTGTGGGTTTAATCCCTAGTCAGGGTAGGTACGGGAGGCAACTGAGTGATGTTTCTCTCTCACATTGGTGCTTCTCTGTCTCTAAAATCAACGAACAGTCTGGCCAGTGCGGCTCAGCGCTTGAGCATTGACCCATGCACCAAGAGGTCGCCAGTTCAATTCCCAGTCAGGGCACATGCCCAGGTTGTAGGCCTGATCCCCAGTGTGGGACATGTAGGAGGTGGCCAATCCATGTTCTTTCTCATCGATGTTTCTATCTCTCTCTCCTTCTCCCTTCTTTTCTCTGTAAAATCAATAATAAAAAAAAAAATCAATGAACATATCCTTGGGTGAGGATTAAAAAAAAAGACCACCGGTGGTGCTGGTGAGGACCAGGAAAAATTGGATGCTTGTGCCCAGCTGGTAAAAACATGAAAGGGTACAGCACTGTGGAAAACAGTCTGGCAGTTAAACAACAGAGTTACTATCTGATCCAGCAACTCACTCTTAGGTATCGATCCAAGAGAAGCAACGACACACATCCACATGAAACCTATACATGAATGCCCACAGCAACAAGATTTATTAAAATCACCAAACGGTGGGAACAACCCAAGCGTCCATCCACAAGTGACAAACACAACATGATCTATCCATATACTGTAATGTCACTCAACCGTGAAAAGGAGTGAAGCACTGACACTACAACGTGGATGGACCTTGAACACATGTTCAGTGGGAAAAGCCAGACACAAAAGGCCAGCATGTGATCCCATTGATGTGGAATGTCCAGAACAGGCACATCCAGAGACAGAAAGTGGGCTTCTGGATGTCAGGGGCTGGTGAAGGAGATGGGGCAACTGCTGACAGGGACGGGACTTCTTTTTTTTATCCTCACCCGAGGATATTTTTCCATTTTTTTGTTCAGATAGAGTGGGAGGGAGAGAGAGGAAGAGAGAGAGAAACATCGATGTGAAAGGGACACATCGAGTGGTTGCCACCCACACGACCAACTAGGGCCGGGGACAAACTGCAATCGAGGTACATGCCCTTAGTGGGAACCGAACCCGGGTCTCTCTGGACCGCAGGCTGACTCTCTAACTGCTGAGCCAAACTGGCCAGGGCAGGACGGGACTTCTTTTTGTGGAGGTGAGAACATTCTGGAACTAGATAGAAGTGGTGGTTGCACCACTCTGACATTAGATGCCAGTGCATGTGCACTTTAAATGGGTGGGGTAGGCGGTATGTGAGTGACAGCTAATAAAGCTATTATTTAAAAAAATTTTTTTAGCCACGTCAGTGTGGCTCAGTGGTTGAGCGTCAACCCATGCACCAAGAGGAGGCCAGTTTGATTCCCAGTCAGGGCACATGCCCAGGCTTTGGGCCCGATCCCCAGTGAGGGGCATGCAGGAGGCACCCCGTCAATGTTCTCACTCATCGATGTTTCTATCTCTCTCCCTCTCCCTTCCTCTCTCTAAAACTCAAGAAAGAAAAAAAAAATTTTTTTTACATTCATAAAATACATAATTTAAAAGCTGTTATTGTGTTTATTTATTTTAATTCTCACCTGAAAATATTTTTCTATTTATCTCAGACAGAATGGGAGGGAGAGGGAAAAGAGAGAGAGAGAAACATTGACATGAGAGAGACACATTGACTGGTTGGCTCCCGCAGACCCCAACCAGGGCCGGGGATGAATCGCTACTGATAAATGTGCCCTTGACCAGAATCGAACCCGTGACTCTTCAGTCTGTAGACTGACGTTCTAACCCATCAGTTCTCAACCTGTGGGTTGTGACTCCTTTGGGGGTCAAACGATCCTTTCACAGGGGTTGCCTAAGACCATCGGAAAACACATATTTCCGATAGCAATTCATAACAGTAGCAAAATTATAGTTATGAAGCAGCAACAAAAATAATTTTATTGTCGAGGGTCACCACAA